GGGCTGCATTGCAATATTGATTGTTCGGATCATTGGTATCTAAGTCTTCCGCTACGCTATCTTGTACTTTGTATTGAGAGGTCGGTTCTTGTTCTGGTCTGCACCATTACAGTATGCAACATTTGCACATCATTAAAGAAGGGGTGTGGATAAGAGGAGACAACCTCCAGCCAATTAAAAAGTCGAAGTCAGTATGTCACAGTTCTCAAAGAAACACAAGGAAGGCATCCCAGACCAAAGACCTGACTGTTCTACCATGCTAACATGTAAGTGCTTCCGTCTCTGCCACCTAACAGCAAAAGCAAAACAGCATCCATGAACGAAGGCTCGCTCGGCGCCAGGAGCGCTCCACCGACGATATCCCTTTAGGCCCCACCAGAAGAGTCCAAAAAAACTCATCCCATGGGAATCTCAACCCTCCATAAAAGCCCTCTCAGCCTATTGCAAGGAAAATGAGCGACAACGAAATTCGGAAACCAAGCCGCATCATACATATGAAACCAGATAGTCTTGACCTCGAAGGCTCGAACCAAAAGCAGAATTGCAACTCGAATTACACCAAATAAGAGCACAGCAGAGCTCACGAATGACAATGTTGGAATAGTCTTGTCATCATCATCATCATTGAACCAATGTCGTTCCCCTATCTGGCGCTCAGTGCCCAGACTACAAATGGCAGGTCCTATCTAGCCTATCTACAATGCCGCCGGTGACATCAACAACTTTCCGAAGTACGAGCAGATCTCGGCCAATGTCGTTCGCATCAAGCACCAGGTATGTCCCTCGCTTCACTCACAACCTCGATCCTCCGCACAAATGCCACATGCACCTGAAGACCACCATGCGCCTCACCCAGCACTGCGCAGGCCAGCCCGGCTATGGCTGCCTGCGTAGGCACTCGCTCCAGCCGCTGGCGCAGCAGCGCTTGCGCATAAGCAGCGAGTGCCCAAGTGTTCAGCCAGCGGCCAGGCCCTTTCCTATATGGAATGTGGCTGCCAGTAGCGGACTGCCTGGCTGGCCTGGGCCTCTCCCCATAAGCTTCTGGTAGGCCCCAAGTGGCTGAGCCCCTGTCCCAGGAAATCTTCCATCGGGCCTGGGGTGGTTACCCGTGTCCAACTGTAAGGCGAGTTGTGTTCAGTTTGTGCCCTGTGTCTGGACCAGGGCCTGCCTCTGATTCATTCGGAAAAGGGCCTGGAGGCCTGAGATATTGGAAGGCAGGGCCTGGGCTCACTCAACCAACTGACGCTGCGTAACTGTGAATTTCCCCCATTTGCATCAAACACAAAAATAGGCCTCTCGTGACTTGTCAGGTCCGCCTTCACTTAGGGCGGCCGTACTTGCTGATACAGGGCCCAGAAAGTGCTTACCAAGGCCTTGAGCCTCACATTCCCTCCTCCATACTTCGATAGTCCTCTTGAGAAGTTTAGTCAATCTGGCGCTTTCCTTCCTGCAATAACTTCTCATAATGAGTGACAAAATGTGGAGCAGTCTGCATCAGTTCCTCTCCCGTAAACCATCTGCCCTCCTTTGGGTCGGTGTGATGTCTAAACCGAACACGATACTGCAGCTTTGGCTTCAAAAGACGGCCCCTGCCTGTCGGTTTTGGAACCGCCATTTCCCTATGGTCAACAATGTTGTCGATGTCGACCTCTCCATCCACGGTTGGGGGCAGCATTGACCGGTGAGTGGGAAACTAATCAGCCTCCTTGGCAGGTGCAGGTTTGGAGGCGTGGAAAACAGGGTAAGTACGAAGGTGACCAGGGATTCAGATAACATAGGAGGGTCCGTCAAGGTCTTCCCCGACAATGTCTAGTACCTCCCAGGGTCCGAAATATTGTGGCGTGAGCTTGCGGGAGCTCCCATGCTCCTGCCCCAGTTTAGAAGTCTTGACCCAGACTTTGTCCCCTACCTCGAATGTAGATGGGCGGCGATGACGATTTTCTGATTCAATCATTGTCGCCTGCGCTTTGTGCATCTGCTCTACAACTTGCTGCACTAGGCGTTCGTACTGGTAAGCAAATTCTAGAGTGCCTGGCGCAGCAGCCGACCGACTCTCAGGTAGTAGGAAGTCTAGGGGCAGTCTAGGCCTGAAGGTTAGTGGCGGACTGTTGGGACTCACCCCTGTAGCGCTGTGTACTGCGTTATTGTACAGTCTGGCGACTATCATCCCAGTCCACCTGATTGGGCTTGATGTATTGCCTCAACAGGTGTTGTGCAGCGCGATTCATCTGCTCGGCTTGTCTGTTTGCCTCTAGGTGGTTCCGAAGGTCATCTGCAGTTGGGTCCCTTGTTCAGCAGTTGCAGCCTTCCACAACTCACTTGTGAAACGAACATCCCGGTCACTAACAAAAGACTTCTGTAGACCAAAGTCTCTAACCCGGTTTTCCTTGAACAATCTAATCACGTACTCTGTTTTAGCTGTTTCGGGCAAACTAACCTGGCGTACTTACTAAACCTATCCACAATGACAAAGACATATCTCATACATATCTTGCTGGTGACCAGCGTATCCATGAAGTCCATGCATAAGCTTTCACCTGACCTCTTCGGAATCAAAAGGGGCCTGAGTAGCCCAAGAGGAGCCTGTGTGTGTGGCTTGTCCCGTTGGCACACCTGGCAAGTCTCCACGTACAGCTTGGCGTCTTTCATCATGTTGGGCCACTAGAACTGCTGCAACAAGTTGGCGGCAGTCTTAGTGTAACCAAAATGTCCGGTGGCATCGTGGCATTCTCCTAAAAATAAACTACGCCAAGATTCTCTATTGGGAACACACAAACATTTATTCCCTGCCTTCTCGAGGAACAACAGGCAATTGACCAACACAGACTCGTCAGAGGACAGTTCGGTTGCTCACTTCTTGAGTGACACGCTGCTGGAAGGACGCTGCGTCGTGCTGCGCTATTTTGAGCACAACACCGTTGAGCTAGGAGGAGAGTGCACGGGGTAGAGTGAGAGAGGCGGAGACCTACCTGCAGCGGCGGACTTACCTGTGGCCATAGCCGGAGCTCCGCGTGGTACCTGCACACGGCGACGACCTAGTCAGCACGGCGGTAGCCACCTGCAAGTGAGATAGCGAGGAGGACGTCATCTTTTTCTTCTTCCTCGTCCTCCATCTCATCTCTCTCTCTCTCTCCCTCGTTCCTCCTTCCTCTTCATCATCTTCTTCTTCTTCTTCTTCAGATACGAGAGTGAGAGAGGTTATCAGCAGAGGATATCGGCAGAGGTTACCGAGGGCATGTTGCCCAGGATCTGATTCGACATTTCTGAGGCAGACATTGATTGGACAACGTGAAGGGACTATTTTGGACTTTGCTATTGCGATCTTGGACTTCTCCCTCGCCTCCATCTCCGTCCTTCCTCTCCCTCCATCCCTCGTCTATGGCATCTCCCCATGTGCGTGTACAAGGAGGGACCTTTCTTCTTGGTGTGCGGTCCCTCCTCTTCCTCTCACATGTGTGATGTATGATGAGATGTCGTGTCAGCCTAGGTCAGGTCAGGACTTACCTTGAAGTCTTTCGTTTTGCTCTATTAAGTGCCATTTCGTATGTATCAGGATGTACATTGCCTGTTGATGTTGCACTAACATTGTACTATCCATTCAGTCCTTTTCATCACATTGTGGATCCTTGGCTCTACATACATGGCCCAACTGGGCATGTATCATTCCAGATATCCAAGTACCTGCATCCCTGCAACTGGTTTAAGAGGTCGTCAATGCGCGGAAGTGGTTCCGCGTTTTTCACAGTGACGGAGTTCAGCTCACGATAATCTATACATAGATAAAGTTCACCTTCCTTTTCGGGCACGAATAAGACAGGGGCACCATAAGGAGATGAGCTAGGGTGAATCCATCCTATGTCAGTAAGTTTTTGCAACTGTTTACACAATTCCTCAAGTTCCCTGGGAGACATTCGATAGATGGGACACTTGGGAATCTTCCTTCTGGGAAGAATCTCAATCGTGTGCTTAATAGCACGCTCAGTGATTCCCGTCGGCTCAGTCTGCAAGTCCTTATACTCGTTGAGAAGTTTCTCGATAGAAGGTGGATAGGATGAGGAACACTCGCCGACTCGTTTGACAAGCACCATCATCACCTCTTGATCCAACTTCTTCTTAACTACCATCGAACGAAAAGTTGGATAACTCATACAGTAAAAAGATAGAGTAGAGTCAAAACCAAACCTATGATATAACTTAATCGCTCGAAGTTCGGACTTTTTGTCCTTAAGTTTGACAATCTTATCTTGGAATTCAACTTTTGGGTCGGCTTCTTCATGCCAATCCATACCCATAATTATGTCAAAGGGTAAATTCTTCTCTATTACGAAGGATACTTCATGTACGATCTTCTTTACTTCCTTTGTCCTGAAATAACACTTGACACGATCGACGTATTGAGAGACAGTAATTGTGCTCTTGTCAGTCGGTGTAGACGTGATAGGTCGACGTACATCCTTTATCTTCATTCCCATATGGAATTTACGAATTGCCTTCTCTGAGATGTAGGACCACGTCGATCCTAGATCTAACATTGCACCAACTCGCGTGTGCGCTATCTCAATTTTCGCGATCATTAACTCACCCTTAGACTTAGCTTTCTTAGCCCACAAACTCCTAGGTGCTATAAGTTCATTACCAAGTTCGTCAAGGGAATCGTCCAGTGAGACAGAGCAAAGAACGGTGTCAGGGTGCTCTGGACGATGGGCCGACGAAGAGCCATCCTCTGCCTTGAGAGTCGAAAGGTTAGAAGGGGTTGTAGGTGCCTTACCTTTGTCTTCGTCTGAACCCTTCGACTCAGTAGGAGCAGATGTTACTCCTACTGGCTGCTCGCTTTTGGGTTTCTGATAAGTGGGGCACCAGGCTATAACATGCCCCACGGTGTCACACTTGAGGCACTCGCGATTGTCCATCTTGGACTGCCATTCCTCACGCGTCATGTTCATCTTCTCCCAGGGTTTTCCTAACGCAATGCCGGGGTGCTTGGAAAACGAGCGTGGCCTCTTCTTCTTCTTCCACTGACTTTGACCTCCCTTGTTGGCCACAACGGCAGTGACATCACCCTTCTCAGATTCACTACAACCATTACCTCCACCTCCCTCAGACTCGTAGAGGGGTAACTTCTCTACAGTGTCATCATAAAAAACAACTAACATGTCGTCCTGGCGTTTATGTCGCCAAAGGACTCGCTTACCGTATCCACCAACCGGTCCCGACTTTACCACCGAAGCGTAAGACCCTTTTGCTTGTGCGGTCATCTGCTCTCGTTGGAGAGCGAGATCGTGAAACTGCCGATAGTTAAACTTACCAGACTTTACTTATGCCACGAGCTGTCCGCGAATGGGCTCGGGCAATGCACGTGAGTATATATACAGGACCTGGTTGTCCTACAAGTTCAACCAGGGTACCTGCAAAAGACGGTTAACCTGACGCGACAAAGCATCAACTGAAGTCCAATGTTTCCGGCCGATTGTAGTGAGTTCATCGAAGGCCATGTCAGCCGCCGTTTCGTGAAGAAACCCCTCCTTTATCTTTTGGAGAAATTGCTTGAGGTTCAGTGTCTTAGCCCACTGACCGATATCCTCGAAACCAATGGCATTGGCTTCAGCCAGCACCCATTCCTTGGCCACTCCTCCGAGGCAAGACGTAGAGAAAGCGACCTAAGTTTCGGGCTCAACGGGTGCAGTCCCGACATACGTCTGGATTTCCGCAATCATAACAACAGATTCTCCTCTTTCTTGTTGATGTATGTAAACGACAATTTCATCTCGACTTTTTCCTTCTTCTTTGGCTTTTCCGCTTCCTTTACCGGTTTTTCTTTCTTAGCGGATTCTTCTTTGTTCTCAACCGGTCTCTCGGGTTCTTTCTTAGAATCTTCGGGTTTCTCTGGCGTAACTCGCTTCATTGCATCCTTCATTAATTTCTCTTGGGGTTCCTTCTTGGCTACCTCCCCCCTAGTCTCCTCCTCAGTTCCTACCTTATCTTTTCCCTTTAGGAGTCTGGCCACTGTCCCTAACGAGGTAGTATTGTGGTCAATCTTCTTCTCAAGAGAAACAAGGTAGATCATGATAGACTGAAGGATGGATGCAAGCTCACTGCCTGCTTCTTCATAATGAAACTTTTGCCTTAATTCCTCCATAATTCTTTCTTCGTTTTCTTGCGCTTCGTGTTGTCTCTGGAATTCCTCAATCTTTCTTCTTTCTTCCCCTAATGTATTTTCTAATTGTCTGACATTCTCCTCCATTATCTCCACAAACAGTTGCGGTTATGCTTTCTTTGCTTTTTCCTCTTCTTTCCTCTTCTTCCTTTCCTGTTCCAGCTTGTCAAATCCCTCGACGTCATACCGGTCAAGGGCCATGCGCCCTTGCTTTACGAGTTCCTCCACTCTCTTGTCTGTTTCCATCATCTGAACGGCAGTGTCAGCGGCCTGCAGCTCTTTTTCTGCATCAAGCAGATTGAGCTGTCTGTGAACGTGTCGTTCAGTGTCCGGACCGGCACCATGAATCTCCACGAGCAACTAGTGGAGTAACCCAATCAGAGTGTGTCTTCTTGTCTCAATTTGACCATGGGTCTTTAGATCTCCTTCTTCGGCATCAACATAGACAACGAGAGGGATGGGAAAGAAGAGAAGAGGTATGAACCGCATCAGGATGGAGGCACACAAAAATTTCCAGAGAGAATTCATTTTCCCAAGTGTGTAGATGCCACACAATAAATAAAATAAGAAGACAGGAATAAATTCCACGACACACGCAACTCCTACGCCAAGAAGTATTCACGACAGATTATAGAAGAAACAGGTTTTCAATGGCTTTCCTAATCTAACTTTGCTGTCTGTTTTCTGTGTGATGACATTCTACAGCAATGTCCAGGTACCGCAGCCACGGCCAGTGTGATCAGGACAACAGCACACTCGTAAGTATACACAGCAACCGCAGACAATCAACAGGTGAGTAGAAAGCCAACACAACCACCAATCAATGGTTAGCTTCCTTCCTCTTTCGGCTATACCATCTGCAGCAGCAATGCAACCCCCAAGTGCACAATCAATACTTCACCCTCAGCAGCCTGTATGCATGCCACGTGTCACCCCTGGCATGCCAACGCAGCAGTTCTGCCACGTCAGCGTCAAGGACTGGAAAGGTCTACAAGGAGGGATGCCACGTCGCAGTGCAGGTCTGCTATACACTACAACACCAGCATGCCACGTCAGCGCATCAACAGCAGGAAATCGCAACACAGGTATGTGCCATGTCAGACCATCCCCTGCCACAATACTACGTCAGCATTCCACATTATGCCACATAAGCAATGCGCCACATCAGCGGTCCCGATCTTTTTTTTGACCAGTGCCACGTCAGCCTGTTGCCAACGAAGCTCTCGCTGGTATCTTGAAGTCTTCGGTGCAGCCACGTCATCATCTTCAAGGGACAGTTGCTCGCACATGCAAGACTACAATGTCTAGACTTGCGGTATTTACCGCGCGCATTAATAAACACATTTCGTTTTGCACATGCGGCACCTCCCACTTACCTGGGTGCCACGTCAGCACCTGACAGCAGACACCAGATTGCAATGAAGGAGTTTGCTCCGATACCAAATTGTAATGAACCCCGTCTGGCAAATACTCATCAGTCGTCATGCACCAGTAGTCTTGACATCTGCAACAAGTCTCCAATTCTTGAAAAGTGATATCTGAAACAGTATCTCATTACCATTAGACGAAGAGAGTGGAGGGGGATTAGACAGAGGAGAAGGTGGAAGAGATATCAAAGATCACACAAGAGTAATCCCATCAAACCCCACTTCTTCTCCGGGCTGCTTCCCTCTCCACATCGTCAACCAGTATATGATAACAAGAGTAATAATCCTGATCACACAGTAGTGCCACGTGGCACTCTTATCTCGTGAAGACCATGAAGACACAGCAGATTATGGTGACGACATCAACCTCAGGTGAGTACCCGATCCCAATCCTCCACAGATCCCGATCTTCCTCCTTGTCGCAACCAGTCACCTCATGTAGACAGCGCGGGCAATGCCTCGTAAACAGGTGGCATGCGCCACATCATCAATGTAGACAGGTGTCAACTCCACATCAGCATGCAGCGTAGACCAGAGGCAGCGTCACATCAGCATGCAATGTAGACCAGAGGCAGCGCCACATCAGCATGCAATGTAGACCAGAGGCAGCGCCACATCAGCATGCCGGGGGCCCAATGCAGAACGCGCCAGAATTCTGTCACAGTCCGCGTCGTCGTCCATAGTGCCTGTGCGCAGCCAGCGCCCAGCCAGCGTCTTGCCAGTGTCGTGCCAGCGTCAATGCCAGTGTCTGGTTGAAGTCAAGCCAGCGTCCAAGCAGCATAGCAAGACTGAATATTGACCACCTCGAAGCCAGCCTTTAAGTAGCATTTACGATGCTTTCTGGCCTTGCTTCCCTTCCCCACAGTCGTCCAGATTGACTCACAGCCGAGGGCCTGGATTGTGTACAGTTGCAGACTCCCCTCTGGAGCTCATGCTGTCTGGGTACCTGCATACAAACGAATGTGCGTGCCTGACCGGCGGCCTGGACTGGGCACCTTTGGACTTGACTGTTAGTATTTCGATAGTTGACTAAAGTCAACTGTCTCACGTCCAGGCCCTGAATCCTCGTTTTGGCCTGGGCTGAGGGCGGCCTACTAAACCCTCAGATATTCCACGAGACATATGGCATGGGTTATTGCATATCCAGATGTATGTGACATACATCCTACGAAGCATCAGGCCTTCCCAAATCAATTTCCTCATGCACCGGCCTAGACAATGGACTGGAATGCAAGCATTCATTTTCTTCTTTTCCCCTCGTTCTCTTCTCCTCCCCCCTAGCATTCTATGCACACATAAAGTGAAGAACAGAGATGAGACGTGCGAAAGGCACTACAAGCTCCACCGACCCAGCTTGACGACTTTTCATATCCACTGTCTCCACAAGTCTTGCTTCAACGAGGTCCACAAGGTGATGAACAGAAACCACCCAAAGCATCGAGAGCTCACCGCGGCTGCCAAGACATTCCTCCGCTCCGCACTAGCCGCAAACTTATTGGTTATGGCCAAAACGACTGGCAATCCCGCTGCTGCGACCTGAAAGAAACCAGATGTCAGACCACCAACAGGCTGACATTATGTCACTGAAAACAAAATTCTATGTGAAACTGAAAAAGGCCAGACATTTAAGACTGGAAGGGTTGTACCTGCCTAGTGGCTGATGCAAGACCACCAACAGGTTGACATTATGTCACTGCAAACAAAACTCTATGTGAAGCTGAAAAAGGCCAGACATTTAAGACTGGAAGAGTTGTACCTGCCTAGTGGCTGAGTGATATACACAAATATATCCTCCTTCCCTCCTTCCTCCCATGCCCTTCTTCCTTGTGTTTCCGTGTCTGTTATAGCACCACTTTTTTTTTTTTTTTTTTGTTATAGCGCCACTTTATTCAGTTTTGGAAGTCCTTTTCATTTCCTCCTCCCATTCTTCATCAGTACTCAAAGAGAAAGATGCAGCATTGCAGATGTTCTTCACTCATCTCTAACTCAGTGGCCGCCACCTTCTCCTCCTGTTCTTCTGTGTCACCATGCTCCCTCGCACTCCTCTTTTTTATCGCCATGCTAATCTTCTGTGTATCATTCCAATTTCAACGGATGTCCTGAAAGGACTGCTCCCTTGTACTCCTACCTTTCTTCTTCGACATCTTCCTCTTTCATCATCTTATTCGCCCTCCTCCTGGGCATGCTTTCTCTGGCTATTCCTTTGGCCTCCTCCTCCTCCTCAATCATCATTGTCGTACTCCTAAAGGGCAGTACCAAATAACAATTGTGAAGGAGAATACAGATAAATAGAGGGAGAAGCATCATGACAGTGAACACTAAGAAGGAAAACCATGAAATAATAACTAAGAAGGGGGAGAGGGAGAGGAGACAGAAAGGAGGGCATGAAGAGGAGGGCATGAAGAAGACAAGGACGGACCATGCTCCTAATCTACCTTCAATGTCTCCTTTCCTTCTTCACCCTCTCCCTTCCCCCTTATCCTGTTCTGTGGTTCCTCCTTGTCCTGTTCCTTCCTCTCTCATCATCTTTCCTCCTATTGTCCTCGTTCCTCAACTCCAAACAGGGTACCAACTGCTGCTGCAGGCCCCAATTTGTGTCTCTCATTTTACTATACAATGTTTACATCATTTCTCTCATCTGTTCTCCCTTTTTCTTTCCTTTCATCAGAGAGAAGTCTAACTACACCTGACCTTCATGGGCACGAAAAATCAGTCAGCGCCTGAGTGCATGCATGGTGTTTCAATACTCCTATGTGATAGTGTGCTTATGCGGAGTTATGTAATATGTGTGCCTCAACTGTTATGCTGCATTTAAGCACCAGACTGCGTTGGCCCAGAATCTCGCTAGCACAAAACTGTGTAGGCCCAGAGCCTTCTAGGCTTTTGGCTATGGATCCACCAGATGCCCCAACCGCCAGCCATTTACAGAAAGTATTTGCTGCAGGTCGAGGTGTTGGTTAAAAAAAAACAAACAAAGGCCCGATAGACCACAGATCAGATATTAAACTAATCAGAACAGATAGGGGGTGCTGGTCTCATGCAAAGAACGATATGGAGAGGATTTTCTCATGTGGTCATTTAAAACACACGCCACCATGAGACTGCTTGCAGGTGACAGCAAAGCTCCCTCAGGAAATGCATACCTGAAATGTGGAGCACAGGACAGCACAGGAGGATATTTAGTTGAAGTCTCTTGAGCTGAGACAGAACCTCACCTCATCAAGAAGAACAGATAATGCAGGTCTGCTGCTCTCTTCAGTTTTCCTGATTCTTGTCGACTGCCGCAGCATGGGAATCTATGACAGGGGACATCAAAAGCATGAAGAACCACAAGTGAGTGTGCTGCAAGGTTGAAATCTGTCTCTAATCATGTACCCCAACATCCACACCCGAGGCCTGTCAAGTCAAATCTTATGCCTCTCTCTCTCTCTCTCTCTCTCTCTCTCTCTCTCTCTCTCTCTCTCTCTCTCTCTCTCTCACACACACACACACACACACACACACACACACACACACGCACACACATTTTTTACCCCTGAATGCGTACGGTGATGGAAGGCAAGCACAGACAGTCAGTCTGGCTGCAGGTCCCCTGAAGACCATAAACTCGTGTGCGAATGCTGTACCCGTATCATCACTCAAGAGTGTTCCCCTTCTTGTTCAGATTCTGAGCTGCTGACCCCTCTGATCTAAACTGATCTTTCTTCTTCTCCAATAATCAGTGGTTGCTGTTGCCATATTCAGCTATCATTTACTTCCCCGTTCCTTTTCCCTTCACCATTCTTCCTGCCCGCCCCCCTGGCCCCCAGCCCACTTTTCCTCCCCTCTCTCCACTTCTTTAATCCGTTTTCCCAATTCCTTCCTGCCATACTTCTCAATTGCCTCCTCCATTCTGCCCCTTCCGCCCCTTTCCCCCCTTTTCTACCTTGATCCCTCCCCCGCTTCCTTGCTTCCCTCATTTAAAACACACACACACTCCCATCCTCCGTCAATTTACACTCCCTCCCTTTTCAATTCCATCCTATTCTTCCTCTATACTGTGGCATGAAAACCTTAACCTCCTTGTTTACCATTGACCTTTTCCTGTCTCGTCCCCCTCATGAACCTCCTCACTAGTTTGGTACTGCCAGGCCTCGAACAGGCAAAGGTCCAAAGGGATACCCTTGGCTGTCTGAATACGTGCCAAACTTGGAGAAGGTCCTCTCCTGCTGCAACTATGTGGAACTGTATTCTTGAGACAATTTCTTCACATTTCGAGTTATAGCCAGCCGAATAAGTTGCTCGAAGAATAGCTTGAACTATGAAGTTCCTTGCGTAGATAAGCCAATGGACATGTTAGGCACACAGTATCCAAGCAATGATGAAAACAGTACAAAGAATCAAGCACATATCAATCAAAGCGCATGCTAAGGGAGCATAGACAGGACTAGCATGCTAGATCCACAAACAGGGAGATTACAGCAATGCAAATCAAGCAAAGCTTGCAACAGGAAAGTAGTCATGGCAGCAGCTTCTACGTTGATATACAGCCACAGGTGCATGATAGGCAACAACATAGAGAGGCAGACAAACATGGGCTGGGGGGACATGCAGAAGAAGGGAAAGAGGAAATGTGCTGTTGTACCCCCGCAGACAGGAGGAAGGAAGCCAAGGAATGACATCCACGCGACATATCATATTGAGACTTGGGTATGCTGGAGTTCACAACCATACCCAAACTCTGTGCATTGGATATTGAGGTTAACCTCAAAGTCATAATGGGTCCATTGTGACAGCCCCTCGAAGTACCTGAAAAGGTAATCTAGTCCTGGTACATAAAGATGATATGACGGCTTTTCATCACCACACAGCACGTACAGCACGCAGGCCTTGCCTTTTGCCATTGACAATCAGAATGGCATTCAATCACGTGCTTCATTTGAACAGAAACGAAGCCTCACAAAAGCTCCAGAAGTTTCAAAGCAGAGCATGAAATACTGTAACTAGTCCTGCTTCATCAGTATGACATAAGATGATACGATGGCCTTTTCATCACTGGAAACAGCAGGCACAGCATGTAAAACTTGCCTTTTGCTATTGACAATCAGAATGGTATTCAATCGTGTGCTTCATATGATCAGAAAGGAATCCTCGCAAAAGCTCCAGAAGTGTCAAAGCAGTGCATGAAATAAAATAAAATCCAAAAGGAAGCGCTTTTGTTTTCCGGAACTCATAGCGCTTACTTCTTGAGGACCATCGTCGGCGGTCGGTTCCACAGAGAGAGAGAGAGAGAGAGAGAGAGAGAGAGAGAGAGAGAGAGAGAGAGAGAGAGAGAGAGAGAGAGAGAGAGCTGCTTACAGCTTACAGTAATCTAGCAGTAATCAATGGGGAAAGCGCTCACCTTATGAGCCAGATTATGAACGAGCACAACAAGATCCACCCTTTGACCTAGCGGCCCTGCCTCCTTTGAGAGCTCCTCCAGGAGCTGACGACGTTCTCCTTCCAAGTCCTGAGCTTCAAACAAATACACAACCAAATCAATCTACATAATGCACCCCAAATTTGTCCATTTCCCTTCCACCAGTTACTACGCAGTTGACAGATCCTTGATCTCCCTTCACTTCACCCACCAGAAACAGAAGAAGCAGCCGCTTTCACAGAAGTCTTACAGATACCAGATTCACTGTGCTCATTTGGACACAAACTCTCGCAAAATTTGCAATGTACAGACTGGCGAACAATCACTGCGAACATGCAACAGTGACTCTCATTAACTCGCAAAACAAAGAAGTGTGAAGCAAACCCACCTGCAGGTTGATCCCTGCTGCGTCCACATAGCCTACTCCGCCAGCAACTCCCTCAGCCCATTCCGTGTCTGGTAAAATTCCTCCATCAAGACCGCCCCTGCTTGACCCTTCTTCTTGCCCAAGTAGTGCTGCGAACAATGAAGTTTTCCCTGCCCCCTGCTCCATCAACATCATTACATCCAGTACACACCAAACAACAACTGAATTCCAGAAGTTCAGGTGACTGTTCAGACTCCAGTTGACGTCCATTCTGATCAATCACTGTAAGTACATTCCCAAAAACATATTGATTCAGATTCAGCACGCCGTGCATCCTCAGAAAACGCACAGTTGAATGGATCCTATTCGAATAATCGAATTCGCATTATGTGGTCATTATTCGCTCCTTACAGGATTTGAACTCTTATCTGTGTATCAACAGGGGTGTATGTGTACAGTTCACCCACTAGGCAGGTACTCCCAATGCCTTATTTGAGTCAACCACTGATTCTGATTTCACGTACCAATTCCATCAATTTCCATGTCCTTTACCTCTTCTTTTTTTTCCCCCAATCAGTCACAGGTCTGTTGAGGGTGGTGGTTCGCAGAACCATCCTCCGCAGCCTGTGATGGGCTCCAATCAATTGGTGGGGAGCTACACCTGCTGGAAATGGGGCCCAGCAGCCAGCGTCCTTCACAAAGAGTGAATTTCGAAAGGGTTGTGGGGGTGTCGGGGATAGTTTCAGATGGGGTAGTCCGTTAGGAGGCTGGACATACCGGGTTCAGCCTTCTAACGGCACAGTGAACACACCCACTCACACAGAGGACTCTCAAGCTCAGAACTCTCAACCTCACACTCACCCACCCGGGGGGTATCGACCGAGACCGGTGCTACTTGGTCGCCCGCAACGGGGTGCACCATACTCGAACTCAGATTCCAGGGTTCCAGAGCTGACACGCCGTGAGGCCTAGGCACCACTGTCACACACCACCGAGGGGAATTGTTGTAGGTTTGCTATGAGTATGGCGAACCCTGTGCCATACTCGGACTCAGATTCCAGGGTTCCAGAGGTGACACGCCGGGAGGCCTAGGCACCACTGTCACACACCACCGAGAGGAATTGTCATAGGTCTGCTATGAGTATGGCGAACACCGGCCTACAGTGGTTGCAGTGGTACAGATATTTGCCAATGGTCCAGGAATCACTGAGTTCACCCCTCGTACTGCCCCCAACCCCCCATGACCCCGTACAACCCAAGGGGAGGCGCAAGTGGTTTCGTATGAATCCCCTGCACAAGGTTGGGCTTTGAACATCAGACCAGGTGTGTGTCCGGTGCTCCGCTGCAGCCTTTTCTTGCGCCTGGAGGACACTCTGCCGGTTGGGTGCGTGGTCGCAAGTCCGAAGATTTGAACCTGCGACCAGGGGCCACAATGCGCATTCCCTGCCAGTGCTCTACCCACTGAGCTTAGGCTTGTAACAGTCCTGAACACTCGTACTTGCACGCTCAGTGCGTCCGTGGTCTGCGTCGGTCAATAGAATGAATGGTTCTTATTGATTCTTGATTTTGAATAGTATTTATTGTTGTATTCAAGAATGAATCAATAGTTATGAATGTTATAATATTTGCACTGTTTATCATCAAAAGTGGGGGTAGAGGGGATCGAACCCTCATGGCTTAAAACCAACGGATTTTCATCTTACTTTAAACGCCCGCCGGCCGAAGCGTGCAAGGTTGCGGGCACGAGAATTTGAGCCTGCAACCTAAGACCACAATGCTCATTCGACACCGGTCCATAGAGTGAGCTTCAATCAACCTGTAATCTAATCTCAAATATTTTTGTGTCATCACACTTGCACACTTGCTTTAGATGAAATCGCACTTGGTTGGAAGTTTGCAGATCGCAGACAAACACTTGGTTTACTTCATATAACAAAGAAATTTGCAAGGAGTATCATCTGCCCTGAGCACACAGCATCAATCAGAACAGAACCTGATGCAGTAGACTGCCAGAACTGCCTGGTTATGGCTGCCCCCACTCTCCCTGCCATCGTCCCTAAAAATAACGCTGCTGCTTCTTCTCTACTCCAGCAAACTTGCCGAATGAAAATCCGTACCCACTGCTGCACAGCTCGTCACTTTTGACCAACTGCCTCCTAGCCTAGGCCTACAGAGTCTGTGTTTTCTTGTCCCAAACCTCAACCATTTCATAATTTGCCTTCAATCATATGGTTAAGGCAACATAGAGAGGATATGGAACGATTAACCCCATCAAAAACACAGATCAAAGTGGTGACCCTAGAATCGCGGCAATGATTTCTTCATGGTGTTGTCCCTGGGATAGAGTTTCTTGCCAGTTAGTTATCATCACAACCACTACCACCACCAGCACCATGACACCTACCTCCTCCTGCTCTGTGTCCGGTGTGAACACCTCGGACGACTTATGACATGCCCTCAGCTACGGCAGGAAAGAACTGGAGCCTCATCAATACAAGTAACCAGTTTGAACCCAATCACACCGGTGTTCACACACACATTTTTGCAGACTCGAGTACCGAGCTGGTTTGATTTTCTGACCATTCACTGAGTGTTGCATGCAGGGTTGAACAGATTGGATGGCAAGCACCAACATTTACCTCTAGTCCCAGAAAACGCACTCGCCGTAACCTGGTTGTAACTGCCTTACTCACAGTTGTAAAATCATTGGTGCAGTGGACTATCACATCACCATACTGTCCACCACCGCACTGCTCAAAAAGACCTTCAAATCTGGCCATTCCATGGAAGCTCTCGTCAAAAGGACTGCTCCCTCCTGCTGGGGTTGATTGCAGACCAGCCTCTGTGCCATGGTTTTCGATAGGCCCATTGGTCTGCTCCGGAGTCGATGCATCTTCAGGTGCTCGATTTGCATCTACAGCAGCTTGTACTACCTGCTCGCCACTGTTGCTTCCCAGTGTTGTTTCTGCTGCTGCCCCACCACCCCGCACATTGCGCCGAAGGGGTGCTCCTATTGTTATCCGCATGGTTTGTAGAGGACCTGGTGCAGAGGGAGGCTTTCCTCGGTCTACAGCTGAGCCCTCGGAACCGGTGCAAGATTCTACAACAGTAGAACACCTGATGGCCAAACACACAGAAGTAGAGTATGAGCACTGGAAGCAAACCTGTGTTATGATTCTGGTTGTTTGTTGTCTGAAGACCAACACTCACTCACATCGACTTCCAGGTATGCCCATACACACAGAAGGAAGGGAGAGGATAGGAGTATCACACTGCACAGGGAGAGATGAACAGAGCGGAAGACTTGACCATGCGATATGACAGGGTACACTGAAAGTGCAATTCACTCCACTCAATCCTCACAACCAGTCATAGAGAAAAGCCAAGCAGATGTTGCATACCGTATAGGTACAGACCAGAACAAGAACCGACCTTTCAATACAAGTATAAGATGGCACAGCGGAAGACTTAGATACTAGTGATCCGAACAATCAATGTTGTAATGCAGCCCTGAACATACATCATCATCATCGTTTCATAGTGTGAATGGGTCTGGCGCTTCACACAGGAAGA